ATCTCTATGATCTCTTTATTCCACCAAGTTTTACTAGGAAGAACTTTAGAATTACGAACATGTTACACAAAGTCAGTATATTGGTTTTATACCTTTTAAAGACCAAAATATTAATGAAACTTGGGTCTTTTTCTTACAAAAAATCCTTTTATATTCACGTGAGCAAGGTTGAAATATGAAGAGATGATCATTTCTTTTAAAGCTTTTTGTGAAACTCCAAGATTGGCGTTACGAAGTTGTTCTTATGAAATTTGATTTACCAATCAGAATCCTTGTAGATCAACCAATGAAATCAAACTTCTGTTATGCTGATGAATGACAAAAAAATTAATACTTCTATTACTGCGGAGATCACTATACTAAAATCGCAGATGAAGTCTCTGCACGTGGCAATAAGATCGCCAATGAACTCACCGCACGCTTATCCGAAATTAATTCTTCTTTCACTGCGGAGCTCTGCAGAATTACTGAAATCGAAACATTTAAAGCACGTGATGCGGGTACGACTGGGCTACGCCACAGAAGCGCAAAAAGTTTTTTAGAAGCCCGTCAAAATGATTTTGGTAGATCCCTAGAGGAATCCACAGATTTATGTAGTGTGTCCAATGAATTTGACCAACCGATTTTCCCAACGTCACATGATAAACATTCAGTCACTGATGTGTTTAATTACATTTTAACTATTTTTAAGTCACACAAGAAAGTATAAATATGCTTTAGTTTTTAATATTTTTATTTTTAACGCGAAAAAAAGAATTAAATTCTTTAAAGCCTTTACGTCGTAAACTATAATTTTTCGATAATCGTGTTAATTGCTACACAGAAATTTTTTACATAAACTCGTCTTTCAAACACATTACCATGGCAAGAGCCAAAGTCAGCTCATATTTTATCAATATACGACCTGAAGAATGGAAAATTTCCGAGTTTTACGAGTATCTCCAGAAAGAAAAGGACTTCCCCAGCTCGTTCCAGAAGGAAACCTTTATACTTAGGAGATCTCTCGATTATCTTATGAAAGGCGGCTCACCAGAAGCAAAGAATTATGCTACTCTTTTGGATAAACATTCAAGGCAAGTAATGTTCGTTGCTGAGGGTTTTAAACAACGGTTTAGAGTACTCTCTATGACTAGAAGAGAAGTCTTCGTGTCATCTCTTGATGATCTTCGTGTTCGTCGTAGTTGAGTCTCTGTAACTTCTATGACTAAGAGAGAAGTCTTCGCGTCGTCTCTTTGATGATCTTTGTGTTCGTCATAGAACTTTATAGAGGTAATAAACTCACATAGAATATCTTCGTGTTATTCTCCTGATGATCTTCGTGTTCGCTGTGGTCCACATATAATTTAATATTAATAGAATTCTTACTCTGTGAACAATGCTAATACTCTTCTATTTGCGTATTAAAAGGGTCATCGTTTAAATGGATTCAAAGTTATTCTGGGATATAATAAAGTCACAATTAGCCTTGATGCTGAATTGAAATGAAGGGGAGAGAGATGCGATTGGCAGAGGTTTGCAATATTTCCTGTTATTTAATATACACACATAACAGCTAACACCGCTTCTTTTCTTTTACAGGCTGGGACAGCGACTGGCATTATGAAGAGGATTGACGGGCTAACTACCTAGAAGCCGTCCATTTATCTCAGAAGGTAACAACGCTTATTTGCGCAACTTCAAATATTACAGTATACTCATCTAATCTATGTTCTACTTTTAGACTTCACATGTTGCTGCGGAGGAAGTCCGTAAGATAATCGTCTCTTTCATATCGTGTAGTTAATTTATCAGAACGAAATATTACGAATCCAGTTAAACAGAAGCTGAAAGACGGTTACCAAAAATGGCTTGGGTTTCGGTACTGTGTTTTTTTATTATACTCTTCATATTGCCATTTGCGAGACTTTAATTTTAATATTCTTGCCTACTCTTCTTAGTCAGAACCATCTAAAGAAAAATTTAAGACAACCCGCCAGGATAAATGGCAAATTATAAAACCACTTTTAAAAAAGTATCAAAAAACTTTAGTACGAAATCTGTGCTTGATGACTTTCCTTTAAATCTTGCAATCGAGATTGTTACTGAGAGGCCATATACAGGAACATTTAATTTCAAACACCATCATGACCTGTTATGGGTACAAGATCTTTACAAGTGATCGTTTTCCTCTTTATATAGAATAAAATTTTATATTAGTTTAATAATTTTATATAATAATGCTAAATTATTAGTAAATTAGTATACCTCAAAATAGCTAATAATAATGACAATTCTTTCCTTCTCTATTTACCATAAAGTGAGCTGCTTCAGCATAATTTGTATTTGATCCACTTTTAAACCAAATTTCAGGATCAATATTTATTTGAAACTAATAAATTGATTAATGAAGCTAAAACATATCAGTCAGTGGTCATGCCACAAAAATTTGTTTGATATAATAAAATTTTTGGTATAGCATTCTTTTCCAATATGTAATATATCTGCAAAGTTTAAAATTGATCATAACTTATTTAATAGGTTACGATTTTCGAATTTTTAATTCTGGCCGAAATTTTGTTAATTCTGGCCAAGATCGTAATTCCGGCCTAAATTAAATAAAAATTGAAAATTTAAAGTCAAATGTAACATTGCATTTTCACAATATAATACTTTAACTAATAATAATTAAAGTCTTTTATTAACATCTTAAAAATATTTTAGTAAACTTTAAAAGCCAAAATTTTAAATTGTTTAAAAGAATCTTGGCAGTAAAAATCAGTGCGACCTCCAATTGTATAATAATATATAATCAATTTTGATTTTTCTGATTTCCTCCATTTTTTTGTGAACTGTTCTAATAAAATTTCTTTGTTTTGTTTAGTCTCTTGTAATTACTTGCAATTTTGTAAATTTTTTACCATAAACTTTATATTTACCAAATTTCAGAAATTATATTGATTAAGTAAAAGTCAGTTTTTAAACTATATATTATTTTCTTTTTTTAAGATTTTCTAAATTTTCTTTTTTTGTAAACAGAGATACTTTTTCAATACCTAAAACTATAGCAGATAATCTCAAATAATATATAATACTTTTATATAATAATGAATATTTAAAAAAAACAAATTGCTAAATTACCTCATATTGAAAAAATATTAATTAAAAAAGTTATTTGTATATATGTAAAATGGTGTTATGTTATAAATACATGATAATATATATTAGGATAAAAAAAAGTTTTTAGTAGAAATGATATGAACCCATCCGACTTAAGGTATGTCAGTCTGTGAGTTGTATGAATATTTAGTGCTGGAGTTTTTTTTTATTCTTTTGGCTAGTTTTCTATTTCTTTTCTTTTTTTTTCTTTTTACCTTTTAAATCTAAGTTTTTTAAATAATATTGTTCTAAATTCTCCCTTTTTGCTTATATAGATTCATTTGAGAAGACTTATTGTAAAAATATTTTGAAAGTGAATTTTTGAAAAGAGTTTGGATGGTTATCATTATATTTCACTACTTTTTTGTCACAAGTGTTAAGACTTGAGCGTTCAAAATATTTTATGTTTCTTATTATACTTAAATTTAAAGCCGGTATTATAAATACTGTAATAGATTAAATTTATAATTTAAAAATCAATTTTTTAGTTTTAACTTGAGACTCGTATACTACTTGTGTATCTTTTAAAATTAGAAATTAAATTAAAAAGAAGTGAAAGTAAAAAAAATATTTTATTGGAGTGGCTTAGTGTTATCATATGATGTTACACTGATCTACATATCATAAATCTGGCCAAAATTATGTTAATTCTGGCCAAAATTAAAATCATATCAAAATTGATTTTTTTTTAATCATGCATCTTTATGAATATCGTGCAATGCATCCTTAACTTTGCTGTGCTTGCATAATGCTAAAATTCAGCATATGGGGACACGCACAGCAAAACAAGGGGATAGGATCTAAAATTTTTTTTTTGAGATTTCATTACAACTGTAATTTTTGGATAAATTGGAGCATAATTATCATATAAACTTAAGAAATTTTTTTTTGAGGCTATCCCCTTGTTTTGCTGTGCTTATCCCCATATTTAGATGATAAACAAATCCGCCGATATGTTATATCATATAGATCAATAAAATTTAGAAAATTTATCAATTTTGGAAACATAATTAATCAAATCAGAATTTTTATTTAACATATAATATATAATAGATATTCATCACTTCTTATTTAAATAGATATAAGGTTTTATATATCTTTCTTACTTTTTTTTTTTTTTCTTTTAATAATTTAATATACTTTATTAATATTAAGACGTGATTCATGAGTGATCGGCATTAAATTACTATAAAAAATTAGGGGAATATTTCACAGTTAATATCGCACGATCTAGTTATTGGATTTTGATGAATTTTTTTTGCTTTGTAGCTCTCAATGCCCTCTTCAAAATAAAAAAAAATTCATCGAAATTGGACTTATACATGGCAAAATATCATAAAAAACAATTTTTTTGAACATGGATGGATTTGAATATTGATCAATTAAAAGCATTATCTCATGATCTAGTGATTGGATTTTGATGAATTTTTTTTTAATTCGTAACTCTCAATACACTCATAAACAGCAAAATTTTTTTTTTGAAAATTGGACTATTATATCACAAAAAATGATTTTTTTGAAGCATAAAATTCTCATGTTTCAAAAAAATCATTTTTTGTGATTATTTCAGATATAATAGTCCAATTTTCAAAAAAAAATTTTTGCTTTTGATGAGTGTATTGAGAGTTACGAATTAAAAAAAATTCATTAAAATCCAATCACTAGATCATGAGATAATGCTTTTAATTGATCAATATTCAAATCCATCCATGTTCAAAAACATCATTTTTTTGTCATATTTCGCCATGTATAAGTCCAATTTCGACGAATTTTATTTTGAAGAGGGCATTGAAAGCTACAAAAAAAAAATTCATCAAAATCCAATCACTAAATTATGCGATATTAACTGTGAAACGTTCCTCCAATTTTTATAGTAATTTAATGCCAATCACTCGCAGATCACGTCTTAAGTTTATATACCATATAAACAAATTATTATAAGCTATATTTATCTAATTATAGTAATGCCAAGTGAAATTGTTTTCTAAAATCTGAAATACTAATAAACTTATTCTAAACTGAAATTTTTTCTAAAATTTAATTTAATATCCAAAATAACAAAATATAATTATTATATTAAACTAACTAAATTAATTAAATTCAATTATTTTTATGTACTAATCACTTATTTTGTATTACAAATTATATCAAAAAAAAAAATTACTTTTTATTTTATACTTTACATTTCAGAAGTGATAAAAAAATTAGTTATAAAATATTTTCAACTAAATTATTATCCAATAAATGTTGTTAAGTTAATTCTTTAATATTATAATCACTTTTCATTTTATTTTTACTATTATCATTAATACTATTATTTAAATCCTTATTATCAATATCACTATTATTATTACTATCAATATTAAAAATAAAAATAAAAATTTTCGTTATTGTTATCCAAACTTTTTACTATATTTTTTAAATCAAAAAAACTTTTAATAATTAAAACTTGAATTTTGTGATTAGAAATCTTTAAGGTAAGTGGGTTTGTTTTATTATCAATTTTGTCATCCTTTTCTTCAAATTGTAAAAATATTGAATTATTTATCATTTTATATAATTCTTCATTTATATACTACTGTTGATATAAGAAAGCTCATTTTTCATATTAAACAAATAATATGAATGAATTTTTGCTATAAACTCTATTGTTAAAAATGTTACCTTCTTTTATCATATAGCTAATCAAAAGTAGAAAAAATTCTTTCATATTATTCTGCACTATATAAATTGTGAATTAATAAAAAATAATATCTGATATTCCATAGGATCATATAAAGCAAAATTTTATAGTTATCTGATAGTATTTTATATGCAATATCAAATATATCTCAATCTCATTTATAGAAAAATTTGATAAAAAATAGATTTTCAATAATTGCAATAATATACCATAATATTAAATATATATATAAGAGTATGAATAATAGAAGCTTTTTTTTATTAAGGGAATATGTTAGTTGTTTCAAACCAATCAGTTAACTTTTATTGCTCCATTAAATTTTTCTTTTTTTATTATTTTCTGATAAAAGAATTACAATAGTATCTTC